AATAATGATATTAGTTTATATTTTAAATATTTGAAAATTTTATGATTCTAGGGTCCAAAACACTTATTTCACCATCTCATGATGAATTGATTTGGAATGTCTAATACACAGGGATTATTGTAAATCTCCTCCAGATTTAAACATTACAAATTTTTTCTCTTTTCTTTTTTCTCTTTAAAGAATCAACAGTGGCTCTCTACTTACCCCCTTGATGACTCAAGTTACCTATGGTTACATGTGAAGCATATATATATGGATTGACAATGTTAAAAAAAAAATTAAAGTAGAGGAGGCAAGTGATATTTTTTAAAGTTTTAGAGTGCTAAGTGATATTTTTTTTACCTCAATGGAGGTTTTTGAAATTATCCCTATTAAATATGCTATTGTTTGGTCTACGTTCCTCATCACCATTACACTTGCCATGGCAGAAAAAATCAATCATACGAATGTTTAGTCTAAAAAGTCATGATTTTAAGAGCTATATATATATACACACACATATATATAGCTCATTTTGAGAGACAGAGAGAGAGAGAGAGAGAGTAGAATTTCATTCAAATTTTCCCTTTTCTAACAATCTCTTAATCATCATAACACACTAATTGTATCTCTCAACTTTAGTAAACATGGTCACTATAATTTTGTTTTAAGGAAATACAAAATTTGATAACAAGGTCAGGATACAATTTAATTATTTTTGTGTTATGAGTTTGGACAAGAAATATTAAAATATTTAAAATTATAAATAATTGACAGTATTCGTAAAAATAATTTGAAATATTTTACTATGACAAAAATAACCTTCCAGCTTAAGCTTTCCTCCGAGCATACGAACAAAAATTTAGCAAGAATGCTTGCTTAATCGCCCAAATATATTTGTACGAACAAATCTAATGGTATGACTTTACCAAGAGCAAAATGTAATAGGTGGAGTGTTTTCGACATGACCTAGAGCCTTGCGGACAAAATTAGATCGCTAGTAGGGTGCAGGTAATTAAGGGTTAAACAAATAAAAAAGTCTTCCAAGCTGATAAGTGTTTATTTTGCATGAGCAAAGTGTATTTTATTATTTAGTTTTAGGTTTGTTTTAGTTAATTTTATAGTTAATTAACTAGGTTTCTTGTGAAGTTTGCATTTTGTGGTTCAATTGTGAAAAAATTGCATTTTCGTGTTTAAGCGGTAAAAACTTCATGCTTTATAGGATTTATTGGCTCAATCATCAAATGAAGTGAATTGAGAAGATATTTTGATGATTCTTGATGATTTGAAGTGATTTAAAGAGGGTATGAAGTATAAAAGTATCATAGCGTGAAATGTAATCAAGTGCAAAAGAAGAAATGTTTGACAACTTTGATACTATATTTCGGTTATAATTTGAATTACAAGTATTGGATTGAGATGATTCTTGAAGTATTTTGAAACTAATACACAGATCTACAATTCATCTGAAGACATTGAAATCCATTTCATTCATTTTTATGATCAAAAAGTCAAAATACAATCATGCACTTTTGCTATCAAAAGCCGAAACAGTTAATCAGTCGAGGATATTTCTATCATTTCTCAATCTATAGGGCTTCAAATGAGATGATTTTTGATGCATTAGAAAAATAACTCAAAGAGCTACAATTTTCATGTTTGTGCAACAGTTAATTCAGCTTCCATCATTGAGAAATTTGCAATTGAAATTGATACAAAAACGGAACAATTTGCTGAATCATCAAAAAGTGCAAAACCTGCAATGGAGCAGTTACAGGAGTGTTACATGACCTACCTAGCCCGCATAGCGCCCCGCGTAACCTTTATTTCGGTTGTGCAGCTTGCTCTGCAACTTGTACTTTTTCACACAACCTTTTGGACCATTTTTCTGATTAAATTCGGTGGGAACTACCCAAGAAGATCATAGAGAATTCAAGAATCAACTTTTGGCAATTCCAAGACACAACTTGCACCAACTTTAACATAATTAATTGAAACTTTAATCTTCTATAAATAAAGGCATTGGAAAGCTTATTTTCTTAACTTTGAATAGTTAGGAACTACCCCAAAAATATCGTATTTACTAGTTTTTCTTAGTTCATTAGTTTAGTGTAGGATTAGTATAGTTTTCATCCAATCTTTGTACTAGCTAGACATGGGATGAAGTGTGAGGATGAAGATGGAGAGTTTACAACTCAAGTGACAAGGGTGGCATCTCTTCTATCACTTTATTTCTTGTATTGATTCTGATATTAGTTATATTACAAATTTGGTTCTTATTTTCTCAACTTTCATGTTTTGCTAGTTTGTAGACCTAGGGAGTTGATGAAATTCTATGATTTTTAAGTGAAGTTTTCATGGTTGTTTGAGCTTATTTCTTGAATAAGTTATTTAGCACTTTCACTTTTCTAATCATGATTAATTTGGTGTCATTAATTGTGATTATTTAAATGTATTGTTTCATCAATAACTATTGTGATTTAATACTAGGTCATGGAAGTGTTAAACTTAGGGAGTTAACTCACTATTGTAGGGTTATACCTTTGTGGTTTTGGTGACTTGTTCCATATAATTTCATAGAATTTAATGAATTTATAACTAGTTTCATATCACGATGGTAGATATGGAGTTGTTATCGGTATGGTTGGCATATCGGTGAAAGTGTGTATCACGTATACTTGGAAATTACACCACAATTAACCAAGATAATGAATTTATTTAACCAATTATTTCATTTGCATGAGTAGATAGGAATTCCATACCTCTAGGAATCTCATTATTATCATTTTTACTACTTTTATTGCATAATAGTAGCTTTGCTTTATTTGTGATAGTCTAAACAATAGAAGAGTTTGAAAACTACCGATAGTTGACAATCTTCCCTGTGGGATGGACCCCTAATATCCCCTATGTTCGATAAACGATCAGTATATTTGCAAAAAATGGGGTATTAAGGTTTTTAAAATTTGATGCAGAATAGAAACCTCGTCAATATTCGTGTTTGACTCTTACAATATGGACTTTGAGCGCGTATTAACCAATCGACGTCATGGAGAAAACTTTTAGTCCATTCTCAACATTTCCAAACATATTCCATGTTTGATTCTTGCATTGTGGTTTTTGAGCACGTATGAGTCAATTGACATCATGGAGGAAACTTTCCGTCCATTGTCCACATTCTATAAAACTATTGAGGGGTGATGTGATTAGGGGTGTAATCGAGTTGAGTCAAGTCGAATTTGACTAGTGAATTATTTGATTAGGGTATAATCGAGTTGAGTCAAGTCGAATTTGACTAGTGAATTATTCGAGCTCGACTCGAACTAAAAAACTTGGATTTGAATTTGAGCTCAATCTCGTCAAGTTCTTGAAAGTTAAGTTCGAACTTGAGTTCGATTTTATTTTGCATTATTCGAACTCATGCTTATCAAGCCCAATTGAGCCTAATCGAGTTTAAGAAATATGAATTTATATTTTATATAATTTTAAATAAGGAATAAAATAGACATTTCATACTAGTAAATAAAAAAATTTTAAAAACATATATATGTGAAGCTCGATTAATCTTAATGAGCTTTCGAACTTCACATATTAAGCTCTAGCTTGACTCGTCAAATAGCTCGAGTTGCTCGAACTCAAACTTGAATTCGGTCAATGCGAGTTTGAGCTCAAGTTTTGATTTAGTAAACTCGCGAGCTACTCGATTAAATTTGACTCGTTTTGCACCCCTAGATGTGATCATTTTGAGACAATATAGAAGTTATGTGGTAATAAGTGAAATCATAAGGAAATTATATGTAATTATCCCAAGTTTCAACATAGTTTGCTTGTTTGGATTAATGGATAATTTCAGAAACCTCGCCTGAGGTTTCTGACAATTTCACTTGCCTCCCTTGAAATTTGTAAAATAACACTAACCTACCCTATAGTGTCTAATTGGAGGAAAATTACTCATATACCCTAAAATATTATGTCTTATTAGAAATCAACATCTGACAATTAAGTAATTAGGGCACTAATCGACTGTCAGTAACTAATTAATGAAAATAGCTGTTGAAATTTTTTAATGATGAACCTGTAATTAAAAAATGGTGCCAATTAATGTACCAAATATTTGTTCACTCTCAAAATTTGATACACCAAACAACAATATGTCTGGAATTTTTGTGCTCTAAAAAATCTTTACAGTTGCCTTATGATTACACTTACAATATTTGTTCTTGATGCCAAAGGATGAGGGTGATTTTTATGATTTCCTCCTGCAGTTTGACTGGAGTATAGTTTTTGCACATATACTTCACCTTTAAATTGCGAAATTAACACAAAATCACTGTTTTCCTACCTCAAATTTTGATGCTTCAAGTGAAAGTGAGATCCATGTTAATGTTTCTTGGTGCCTTTATATGCAAAATGGTAAAGTCCTAAAAAAATAGCCAATATAATCCAATGCACTAGCTGTTGGTCCAACTTTGTAGAGAAAGTCAGTTGCTACTTATTTTTGTTCTTTGCTATTTACACTTACCTTTTCTCACTTTTATTAATATGTTTTTCATTCCTTTATAATACGCCTTGTACACAAGCATAAAAGGCATTTGTGAAATAAAAGTTTTATTTGTCTTTTCAAAGTACTTTTTTAATGGTACTTTTTTTTATTTGGACTAATTTTGTTATCAAAACCTTAATTTCAGAGAAGGTTAGTTAATTTTATAAACATCAAGAAAGGTCAATAAAATTGTCGGAAACGGAGGCTTCTAAAATTATCCCTTGGATTAAACTTGTTTACGCTCGGGCCTTTTTTGTCACCAACAGTGATAGTGGCATACAGATACAAACACAATATCAAGTAGAAGCACTATAAATGTTCTTTCCCATTCAAATTTGTGTCCAAAAATTTATTTTTTGTTCATTTTATTATGTTCGTGCCCATATTTACCATGTATGTGTCTACATCCTTTAGAGTAGTGTCTCTATCGCACGGTGCCGCGCTGTTACCGTACGTGATCCTAAACTGCACACTCCTAAGTCCCAACATTATCCATGCGATCGTCAGAATACATTCCATTCACTCCCATACCTCACCCACTCTCGGTTCTCTCCCTAATTCTCTGCCTTTCCATTTCAAATAAACAAGCACGCAGAACAGAGTCAAATTGCGCGCCAAAACAGCACAAACAACACAGGATCAGCGCCAAGAAGAAGAAGAAAACGAAGTAGGGGGAAAAAAGCTGTAGAAGGAAAAGGAGGAGGAGGAGCCATCCCAGTCCGCCAGTGTCGTCATCTTCTAATCGGCTTCATCTGCTTCAACGAAAATTCTCTGTTAAGTTTCCTTATTGACCCTGTGATTTTCTTATGTTTAAAGTTCTGGTCTGCAGCACTTGTCTTGCCATGCTTTATCCTCATTTTTCTTGATTCAATCGGTTTTAGATGGCTGAATTTGATCAAAATTTACTAGAATTCTTTGCTTTCTTTTGTCGAAATTTGCTGAATTTGTAAATGCTCATCATCTGTCTGTCAAAAGTCCCTCCGTGAAAATGAGAAGAATACTTCAAACCTTCTCTGTCGTTTTGGTGCAATTTTCGTTGTCTGTGTTTGTTATCTACGTGCTTCTGTGGGTTTTGAAAATTGCGAACATTATCCTCAACTTTCCCTTATTTTTTGATTTGACCCCTGCTGTTTACCAAGTTTTCAATTGTTTACCAAAATTTCAATTCATACTTTATTTCTTGATTCTCAATTAGCTCCCTAGGATTAGAAAAGTGAGTCTTGACTTTATTTGGCATTTCAATTGATCCTAGTTAGCTTTAACTAGTTATATTTAATGTCTGGAATTCATGTAAGCCCCATATAGGACGCAGGTTGTGTATTATAGTTGTTTTGCTTTCTGTATTTGCTCTTGCTTTACTTTGTGGAATGTAATCGTGTGTGTTTATAGCACCGGAAGCTTGAAGGTTAGGCACTTTCCTTTATTTGGTTATCTATGTGTTATGCATTTTCATGTCTTTAAAAGTCTTTTTCTATTAATTAAATGCATGCTATTTTTTTAGTTTGAATTAACTAGAATTTTGGCTCTATTATTATAAGAACGCTAATTAATCTTGCACCCACTTTTCATCAAATGTAAGGAGGTTCTCAGGGCTGATACCTTGATTTTCTTTCCTCCCAACTAAGCTCCTGAATCGACTTCTCTTGTTTTTGTGGAGTGTGTCATCTAAATAAACGATTTTGATCGTTTTCTATCTAAAAATTAAAAAGAAAAATTAACTTTTAGCTAAATGTATAGAATTTTTTTTTTTGGTTAAGTAAAATGTATTAGATGACTTGTTACATCTAGAACCCAATATTGAGTGGTGACTCCTTATTCTTGAAAATCCCATTTCCTAGATTTTACAGGGTACTTGAATTGTCACATTTGCCAAGTCCAATCTTAGGCTCTTTTTCTATTTTCTTTTGTTTTTAATTTATTTTATCAAGAACCAAAAATTTACTTTAATCTTCAACAACTCCTTTTTGCTTCCATTTTATTTTATTTTTATTTTTTTGAAAGATATGTGACGTGAGATCCTCAATCCCTTTGTTTAGTTATTCATTGAAAATGACGCAATTGTTGATTAAGGCTAGGATAGGTAAATTAAGGCAAAGGGCACTGCTGGTATCCAAATTGCCCCTTTCCAGATGCCGGACATTGGCTAAAAGGACTAAATTGACTAAATTGTTGAAACTTTAAAGTTTAGGAACTAAATTAGCTAGAATATAAGTTTATGGATTAAATAAGTGATTTCCCCTTCTTTAATAGAACGTTTAATGGCATATAAGTTTCCTATGTAAACCACATGCATAGAGTGTGCAAGAACCACAAGTTATTTTAAGCAACTACAGTTCAACTTTACTGTAGCTTCAACTTGCATGTAAATCCCTTAGTCACTAATGGAGAACAGAAGAGACAACAAAAAATTAGAAAAAGAAAATTTGTAGGCTGGAGCCACGATTCTCTCCCCTCCTCTCCCCAGCATGGTGCATCCTCTTCTATCCATGCCCCTGCCATGTACAAGCACCCTTCTCCCCCTAATTTTCTCTAGAAGCTGGATCTACTCCAGGTTTGGCTTTACTCTTGCCAAACTTCAACTTAATACAGACATAAATTTTGGGGTGTAAAGTTGTCAGAATATTCTTAAAAGAACTATGGTTTGGGATTTTGTAATATGCAATATGGATTTCTAACTAGTTTTGATAGTTTGGTTAAAATCCCTAAGGAATTTAATGGGTAACGGGGTAATTTGCTCTGGATAGAGCACATTACCTGGTTGCCCGCTAAACTTTTCAAATGGTATAATTTTGGCCACTCAACTTTTAACAGTATGAAGTTACCCGCTCAACTTCCAAATGTGTATATTTTGGGCCATTTTGTCTACTTAGATCGTCAAGTCTGCCACATCTAAGGACTCATGGATCATGAGATATAATCGGAAGCAGACTTGACATGAAAACAGACTTGACATCTAAGGACTCACATGGATCATGAGATGTAATCGGAAGCAGACTTGACAATGAAAACAGACGGAATGGCCCAGAAATATACACGTTTGAGAGTGAAGTGGGTAACTTTACTCTAAAAAGTTGAGTGGTTGAATCTATATCATTTCAAAAGTATAGGGGAAACCAGGTAATTTTCTCAATCTATTTTTCTTTTGCTTGATCGTTATTGGTAGAATGGGAGAAATGCTGATATGCTTTAAGAATCTATTCTCATTTTCCTTTTGAGAATGAAAGAGACTCTAAACATTACATCTAAATGATACAGTTCCACAATCTATCTTCAAAGTACTGAAACTTAGCTCAGGCCACTGGAATTGGAGAGAAGAAGGAGGAGGGGGCACTGTGCTTTGAAGAAGCAAGGAATAGCAGAGTTGTGGCCACTTCTGAATTGTTTTCCTTGGCTCAATTTTGTTTCTAGTCTTTTGTTTATATATTTTTATTACTCTCGTAACAGGAAAGCTTTACAAAAAACCAAAGAGTCATAATGGCTCTTGCAGCAAGCTTCACTTTGGCCTTTCCTTCTATATCTCTATCTTCAAGGACAAGAATTTCTTCATCTGGATCTTGTTATCCTCTCAGATGTTCGATCCAAAACTCTTCCCTCTCAGTTTCAGTGCCTGACACCACCATCTCCAAGTGCAACGAAACCTTGTCAGCAATTCAAAATTCCGGTATAATTGCTTGTCTTCGCGCTGAAAGGTAAAGTCCTATAATCTCCATTTTTTATTTTTTTTTGTCTTCCCATAAATTTCAGCCCTATATGAATCCACGTAAAATATAGGCATTTATAAATTTCTAAGGACAATATTAGTATATCACTTGAGCATAGCATTCTATGTGGCGCAAAAGGTGTTTAGAAGCATGCTTTTGAGATTTTTTCAAAGCATTTTCCTAAAAAGTGCAATCAGAGCCTTTGCCTCCAGTAATACAAATAAGTATTCCAGGTAGTATATGGATGTTGCTTTGGTAATTTTAGCAAGTGGTAGAAGAAGAGCAGCCAAATGACCTTCATTGGATAGAAGATGTACCCAATATAGGAATTATTAGTAGCTTCATACCTCTAGGAGTTCAAGCAAATTGTGAGGTTTGATGGCAGGGGAATTTTTAGTTTTTTTGGTAATAGCTTGTTAAAGGGCATCCTCAAATTGGAAGAGCCACGAATTGATTCTGATTTGGTACTTGATCTACTCCCTGCTATGTCATCTAGTGCAGAATTGGCATTCGAAGCTGCTCGTGCTGCATTAAATGGTGGAATTACTGTGGTAAGTTCATCAGTGTCCTATAAGTTGAGATTTATAAAACAATGGGATTACATTTTACGTAACTATTGGCTTGTTTGGATTAGCTCTTTTTAAAAAATCACACGTTTCTCAATTAAAAAAAAATCTACAGTAACACCCCAGAAAACACATTAAAGATCCAAATTACCAAAAAAAAACCACTATTTCTCCACATAATCTCCGCTTCTCTCTTCACCACCATGCCCACCAGCCTTTGTCTCTCCCCATTTCCTTCTGCCACCGCTCCACCTCCCCTTTCCCCTCCTTAGCCCCCTAAACCTCCCCCACTTTTGCCCTCACAACCCCAACCACATGCCATGTGACTGGGGGTGGAAGAGGGGTAGGGAAGAGGGGAAATGGGAGGGGACTGTGGAGAGAGGTGGCAGAGAAGGAGGGTGGGGTGGCAGAGAAGGAGGGGGAAGGTGGCAAGGGTGGGTGGTTGGCTGGGATTGTAGGAGATGGGAAGGGTAGCAGTTAAAAACAACCTTAATACTATAAAATCACCACTTTGTTTTTTAACAAAAAAAAAACCTATAGTAAAATTTTTTAAAAGCACCCCAAAAAACACCTAAAGCAAATGGGAATGGTTAAGAAAGATAAGTGTTAAATCAAACATTCTGATAAATCATTTGGTTTTTGGAGTTACTGGAAGGTTTGCAAATTTGTTTGGCCTGCTTAATTGCTTATACTTGGTGCCATAGTTATGACCATCAAGAGAAATGAAACGACGACTTACACTATTCGTAGGATGGTAAGTTTCAAACTTTAAAGTTGATTACTGAGAAATGACTTGATGTTCTGCAGCTGGAGATTGTAATGTCCAATCCAGGCGTCTTTGAGGTAATTTTCAACATATCACTTTCCCTCTATGCCAGGTAGTGGCGGCAAACTTGTTGGTTAATATACTGTCCTTTCACAAGACAGGTCTTACAGCAATTAGTGCACGAGTATCCAACAAAAATAATAGGGGTAAGTTTAGGGTTTTTTCCCCAAATCTTCTATACATTTCAACTTGTCTTACTTTTAAGTACGCATCTCAAAGATTCAAAAATGGTAGCTCCATTGGCCTTATGTAGGGTGGATTGTATGCTTGGTAGTTGCTTCTCCTATTGTACACTAACACTTATATATGGGAATATTTTTTTAGCTTAGTGTCAGGCTTGCTTTTAAATAAGCAAGGCAACTAATATTTTACTGGATTTTTGTATATAAAGTTTAGCATTAATCATTGCTATCATTTGTAAAATAATTTTGGATGGAAATTTGTTCCTTTTTGTCAACTCTGGTTGTGTGGAATCTTAACTTGAATTTTTATCGTTTCTACTGTTTACTGGAACAAAAGAATGGCCGGAAACAGTAATAAAAAGAGAAGTAACATTATACAATTTCTTTTTTTGTGCTGCAGGTTGGGACTGTTTTAAATCTTGAAGATGCCAAACATGCTATTAGCCATGGAGCTAAGTTTCTTCTTAGTCCTGCAATGGTAATGGTATGGACAGAACAGAAAGTAGGCTGCACTGATGCTGATTCCTGTAAAAGCCTAGACTGATATATTTGTTTAATTAGATGTTGACTTCTCATTTTCTGTTCAAGGGTATTTTGGATGATGTTTCATGCAGCAAAGCTCTATATATACCTGGAGCCATGACTCCAACAGAGGTAGAATTATTCTTGGCTATCAATACTGCTTTATTGGGTCGGATTTTGTTTAGGAATTCAACGATCTTTGTTGTTCTTGGGCTGAGCTTGCCAATGTAACTTGTTACACCGTATGCTTATGTACATAAGTGTGTCTGATATATTAGGTGGTGATGCCTTGTTGTCCTAAAGATATATTTTCCCAACAAAGATGTTTCCTTTAAAGATGTATTATTTTGTTTAACTTTTATTTGTTTTTCGTTATCTTTTAAAGAAATGTATGATTGATAAAGAAAGAAAAGAATAGACAAAGCAAGTTGCTTAGTTATCTTCATACTTATGCAGATATTGTCCGCATTCAGTTCTGGAGCCAAAATGATCAAGGTCTGTAACTCTTCTGCTAATAGGAAACCAAATATTTCAATTGTCACTTCTTGTTATGTTTTTCAATTTGTGTTGTGATATTAAGTTTAATCCTATCTGTCCAATATTCCAGAATTAACAACTTTTTCTTAGAAAATAAATTTTATCTGCTTTATGGCGAAAGACAATATTTTTGTGCAAATCTGATCTGCCTAAATGATATACTGTGTACGGGTGATGACAGATCAATAAATAAGGTTTTGACTGGAGCGCTCTAGAGCCAAGTAATTGATTGATTATACCCAAAGAAGAAAATGAAAACCTAGTGTTTGCTTTCCGAATAGCAGAGTTAACTTAGAAAACATAATACTCTTAATAATAATGCCATGAGGAAGTTTATATTAGAAATCATCTTCTCCAGGTCTGCCTTGTTATCAAATTTGAAGGATTTTGATCTTGTTTGTCTTCATTAGATGTGGAGATAATATTTCAAGATATCGTTGAAATTTTTTGGCATAATCAAGAACATTTGTGTTGTTGTAAGATTTCCTACACTAACAAGCTCTTTAGAATTTTGAATCTTTTCAGATTCTTTCTTTAGGTGAATAATGTCATAAAATTGAAACATATTTTTTGATCTGTTGTGCGATAATTTTGATGGTTATGTTTCTTGTAATCTCATGAATTCATGTTTCCTATTATCATGTGAAGGACTGCATCCTATTATCATGTTTCCTATCATTCTAAATCAACTCTACATAACTCATTTTGGATTAGAAAACAACTTGATGGCTTCAATCTGCTTTTATAAATTAAGTTGAGGCATTATGTAGGGCCAGGGTTTGATCATGGTGGTGTAGTAAGAGAGTAAGAGGGGGAAAGAGAGAGAGGGAGAGAGTATATTAAAAGGATGAGTGAATGGATTTATGATCTGCAAAAGTGAACATTACTATTTATCTCATGAGGAGAAGACCACATTGTTAAAAGAATATAAGTACTCTTGTAGATAAAGAAATTAGTAAGGGTATTCTCATAAATAGTTTGTTAGGTTTGTACTGCTATAAATATTAGTTTGTTACTCATAATATGAGAGTTAGACATTTCTCCCAAAATACATGTTATCGTGGTATCAGAGCTAAAGTCCTAGGGTTAGGGTTAGACATCTAGCAAAAGTCCTGCTCACGCGATACTGTTCATCGCATTACTGTTTACGTGTACTGTTCATCACGAATTTTGATTATTTTTTTTTGTTTGAAGTGATATTCGTTATGGCTGACAATTTATCAAAAGTGTCATGGCGCCCACTAATGTTATGACAATGGTGACGCCTCAAATCACAAATTGAAAGTTGAACGGCACTAATTATCAACAGTGGTCAAAAGCTATTAAGATTTATCTGATAACCTTAGAAAAGCAACGACATCTCGTAGATGACTCTCCTACAGAGGATAACAAGAGACTAATATGGATTCAAGAGGATGCCCAAATTCTTGGAGCACTATGAAATTTTATGGAGCCACGAATTGCTTGCGTGTGTTCTCATTTTGAGACAACAAAAGAAGTTTGGAATTATGTCCGGTTATTATACTGCAGTAATCTTTCACGGATGTAATGCCTCTCTCAAGTGATACTACAGTTATGCAGAGGTAAAGAAAACAAATGCTTGTGCTCAAATTCTTGGCTGGCCTTAAGCCAGAATTTGAACCAATTAAATCTCAAATTTTAGCAGGTGAACAATTATTATCCTTTGCAGAGTTATATGCTCATGTCTTACGTTCTGCATCTAAAGATAATGCACAAGGTGATGGTGTTCTAATTAATAACAAGTCTGCTTTAGTTGCTAACAACAATTGGATAGAGCAACTTAGTTCTGGACGTGAGCAACTTAGTTTTGGACGTGCCTCTAATGGAGGAAGAAGTAGAGGAGGTCGAGGTACCTGTGAGTGCACTCATTGTGGTTTGAAAAATCACACTCGTGATACTTGTTGAGATTTGGTTGGAAAACCTCATCGGTTTGCTAATACGGTTACCACTGACCAAGCTGAATTAGGTTCTTCAGCACAAGGGTCCCAGAAGACTTACCATATCCGAGGAAAATTATGTTAAATTCCTAAAGTGCCAAACTGCAAATCACGCATCTTTTCCCTCTGCTTCTTTAGCATAAAAAGGTAAAGTTATGGCTTGTTTCCTCATATCCTCTAATTCTGATACATGGGTTATTAACTCTGGGGCTACTGATCATATGTCAGGTACTTCTAGACATTTTTGTAATATTCAAAAGTCTACTTCCTTTTCTCATGTTACTTTAGCTGATGGATCTACAACTAAAGTTAAAGGAAAAGGACTAGAAATTAATCCATCTCTTCCACTGTCTTCTGTTCTTTATATATCCAATTTGTCTTTTAATCTAATGTATGTTAGTAAACTTACTAAATTTTTGTAGTGTTCAGTTACTTTTTCTTCTGATTTTGTTGTCATTCAAGATTTGAAGATAAAGAGGATGATTGGTGGAGGGCATGAGCAAAATGGTCTTCATTTTCTAACTCTAATGGTCCGATTGTGTGTTCTGCTACTGTTTCTCCCTTGAAATTAATTGTCGTTTGGGTCATTCATCTCTACAAAATTTGAAGATGTTGGTTCCTACTTGAGTCAATTGTCTTCTTTAGAATGTGAATCTTGTCAGTTAGAAAAGCATCATCGTGTTTCTTTTGCCCCTAGAGTCAATAAATGGGTTTGTGAACCCTTTTTGTTAGTTCATTCTGATGTTTGGGGTCCTAGTCGTGTCACTTCAAAGTTTGGTTTTAAATATTTTGTAATATTTGTTGATGACTTTTCTAGAGTTACATGACTTTATTTAATGAAAGATCGTTGAGAGCTATATTTCATTTTTTGTACATTTGTTACAGAAATAAAGAATCAATTTGATGTACTTATACGTATATTTCGCAGTGCTAATGCGAAAGAATATTTTTCCACTCCTTTTGATACTTTTATGACTAAGTTCAGTATTATTCATTAGTCCTCTTGTCCTCACACTCCACAATAGAATGGAGTTGTTGAAAGAAAAATTGGACATTTAGCCGAAATTGGTCGAACACTTTTGTGGCACATGAATGTGCCTAAACAGTTTTGAAGTGATGCAGTTTTAACTGCATGTTATTTAATTAATCGCATGCCATCTAATATTCTTGGAGGCCAATTACCCCACTCCATTCTTTTTCCTCGTAAACCTGTGTTTAAATTACCTTCTTGTATTTTTGGATGTGTGTGTTTTGTCCATTAGCTTGCTCCCGGAGTGAATAAATTAGATCCTCATGCTATTAAGTTTATTTTCTTAAAATATGCACAAGCGCAAAAATGATATAGATATTATAGTCAAGTTTTAAATCGGTTTTCTACTTGTGTTGATGTTACTTTATTTGAGTCTACTCCTTATTTTATGAAACAAGATATACCTCGTGAGTTAGAACAATGTTTCTCTTTTCCTTCTTCTGTTTTGCCAGTCCCTTCATCTTTATTACTTGAGTTATACAGTCCACCAGATTCCACAACTCGGTTATCTCGTTCTAATCTTTAAATTTATTCTCGTCGTTCTGTAATTGAGAAAGCTCCTGATACATCACGCACTTCACCAATTAACTCTCAATCTTCAAATCCAGGTATGAACCCCTCCTGTGAGTTAGATCTTCCTTTTGCGTTACGCAAAGGTAAGAGGCATATTCTCATCCCATTTTTAATTTTGTTTCTTATTCTCGTATCTCTCCGTCATATTCTTCTTTTGTTGCTTCACTTGATTTTGTATCCATTTTAAGTTTATTACCCATGCTCTCAATCATCCTAGTTGGAGATTAGTTATGCAAGAAGAGATGTTTGCTTTGAAGTAAAATGATACTTGGGATCTTGTCTCTCTTCCTTCTGGTAAGCCTGTTGTTGGTTGTAAATTGGTATACACTATAAAAGTGCAGTTTAATGGTTCTATTGATAGATTGAAAGCTCGTCTGGTAGCTAAAGGATTTACTCAAGCGTATAGAATCGACTGTTTAGAGACATTTTCTCAGGTTGCAAAAATTACCTTTGTTCGTCTTCTTATCTCTTTGGCAGCAGTTTATAATTGGTCATTGCATTAGTTGGATGTGAAAAATGTATTTTTACATGGAGATTTGGAAGAAGAGGTATATATGGAACGATCTCTTGGATTTGTTGTTCATGGGGAGAATTCGCGGTTGGTTTGTCGTTTGAAAAATCCTTATATGGATTGAAATAGTCTCCTAGGGTTTGGTTTGGGCGATTTAGTACTGTTGTTATGGAGTTCGATCTGACAAGATGTGGAATAGATCACTCTGTTTTATTGGCATTCTGATGCTGGTAAAATTTTATTAGTTGTTTACGTGGATGATATTGTGATTACATGTGATGATGTGCGGATCCAGCAGCTTAAGTCCAATCTGCAGGCAAACTTTCAGACAAAGGATTTAGGTCACAGTATTTTTTAAGTATTGAGGTAGTTCGGTTTAAATATGAGATTTATTTATGTCAAAGAAAATATGTATTCGATATGCTGAGGGAAGTTGGAATGTTAGGTTGTTGACCTGTGGATGCTCCTATGGATTCTAATGTGAAATTAGTAGGAGATCAAGATGCATTACTAGATGATCTTGGGCAATATCGAAGATTTGTGGGTAAATTAAATTATCTCACTGTAAGAGGCCTAACATTTCGTTTGCAATGAGTGTCGTGAGTCAATTTTTTGAGACTCCTCGTACCAGTCATTGGGATGCTGTTATACGAATTCTCAGGTATCTTAAAAGTGCTCCCGGAAAAGGGTTGCTGTATCAAAATAATGGACACATGATATTGAAGGATACAGTGATGCAGATTGGGCTGGTTCTGCCTCAGATCGAAAATCAACCACAGTATATTGTGTGTTTGTTGGTGGTAATTTAGTGTTGTGGAAGAGTAAGAAACAAACAGTTGTCTCCAAGTCAAGTGCAGAATCTGAATACCGTACTATGGCTCACACTGTGTGTGAATTGATTTGGTTGAAGAGCATGTTACTTGAAAATGGGTTTGAATATAAACAGTTTATGAATTTAGTGTGTGATAATCAGGCCGCTATTCATATTGTGTCTAACCCAATATTTCATGAAAGGACAAAACATATTGAAGTTGATTGTCATTTCATTTGAGAGAAATTACTTGATGGAGTCATCAAGACATCTCATGTACAATCTGTAGATCAATTGACCGATTTGTTTATTAAGCATTTAGGGGGCTCTAGGGTGACATACATTTGTAACAAGTTAGGTGCTCATGATATATATACTTCAACTTGAGAGGGAGTGTTAAGAGAATATAAATACTTTTGTAGATAAATAAATTAGTAAGAGTATTCTTGTAAATAATTTGTTAGATTTGTACTATTATAAATAGTAGTTGGTCACTCAAAATCGAGAGTTAGACGTTTTTCTCCCAAAATACATGTTATCACACATTAATGTGTGAAAAAAGCTTCTAGTTAGTTCAAATTACAATAATGAGTAAGAATATGAGATCAGCTATGTTTATATGACAATACACGGTGGCTAGAGAAGTGATTTGGCAAAGAAATGAAATGAGCAGCAAGTTTGTTACAACGAAAAGTTGGGTGGTGAAAGTATCTCTCTTATAAAGAGTATCAGAAAGTGGTCCCAAGGTAGGCCCCTAATCTGACACCAGATCCTGTGGGCAGGAGGTTATTCATAAGGAATGGCTCTCTTTTCCCACAGGTTATAATCAAGTAGATGTAAACAAAGTATGTGGTACGCTGGGTTTTCATGGTAGCATGTATCAAGTGGTTCTCTTGGGAATGCCAGGTACATAATATTCATATGTTTCAGTCTTTCCTGGAGGATAAGGAGTGATAGAGACGAACGTCAAATGGCAGCAATTGAGTAAAGTTTATGATAGCTGTGGCAAGGATGCTTCAAAATCCCAGGCTTCATTTTTTGCATGCTTTCGAGATAAGGAGCCTATTTGGAGTTGGATTGTGTCTTTACTAGCATTTATCTAAGTAGTTCTTTAGTTCTTTAATTTTTATGCTATTGGATATATTCTAAATTTTCATCAAGGTATTGTAGCAATGTAGCTTTTGGCAGGAATTTTCCGTTCACTAATTACTGTTTTGGAGTTGAGTAATGGTAGTTTTCTGATTTGGAATTTGTATGAGTTTTGAAAATGGAGTCTTGTTTATTTTTATAATTAAGGAGGGAATCCTAATTCGAAATAGGAGTTAGTTATGAGTCTGTAAATGTTGTACTTCAAGGAGAGAAGACAGATTTCCTACATTAATAAAATTCATGCACACTTGCAATCTTGAAGCTTATAAAATCTTGCTTGAGTTTATGCCTAAATATTCAACAGGGTGATTGCTACAATTCCTTTTTTATTTTTTATTTTTTTAGTCTAAAACTTGAATTTCCTGCAATTTTTTGCTATAATTTACTATTCTGATCCCATTGATGTCTGTTCCTTTGATTGCCCACCCTTATAGTTGTGAATCCTAAACCTCAAAGTACCTATCCACAATTCTGTTGCCCCATCAGCAGCTTTGATGCTCAGTCAAGGAGCCTTTGCCTTTGGCAAATGTCAGGCCATAAGTATCTGGCATGCTGCAAATAATGGTTATCCACCAAAGTGAGTTTCAGAGAGATATTTTATGATATACTTGGTATTCTACTCAACAACTTGTTATTTGATAATTAGATGAGGAGATGTCGTGAATATTCGATGTTACCAACTTCTACAAGCGTAATGACATCATGAAGGATAGATTTAGCAATTCGAGTACCTGGTGGAAACTGATCTTCTACATCAGATCCTCAATCCTCTAGAATGAATCAGACTCTTAAATTTTGCCTTTGATACACATACAGCTCTTGGTTCTAAGGCAGTTTTAACTCTTAATGTGCCTCTAGTCTGAACACGGACATGCCTATTCTTATAGAAGGGAAAACAGGTGATGGATGGTGGTCTTCAATTCCAACCTGTCATCTCCTTGATTTGTAGTTGTTTCCTTTTTGTTATGTTTACTGGTTGTATCTCGTTGATATCAAGCATTAAAGATATAGAGATTTTGCTAGATGTGAAAAGAGGACTGTCATACTTATTGCATATCTATACATGCAGACACCTGCGTTTTCTTTTAAAGAAAAGAAGTAGAAGTCTTGCAAGATTCATTTGAATAACTAAGAGATATAGAATACTTATGTAAGATCTTCTCTAAATTGATGTGATATTTATTTTTAACATCATGTTTGCTGAGTTACATGCAATAGTGGTCAGTGACATTTTTTACTAGCTCTGGTTTTTGCCTATATTACTGATAGACAGCCTCATATTTGAAAAACTTCATTTAACAGCTTCACCTTTAGAGTCAAGAAGAACTTTGTCCAACCCAGTTTAACATTTCTTACTCTTATGGACACAAAACTGCACAGAACCCTTTCCCATGATATCATGAAACTATAAAGTTTTAAAATGGAAAAAAGAAAAAAATTAATTAAAAGGACAAGGAGAACTTTAGTGTTGTTTCCTTACCAGTCTTTTTCTCATTGGTTTGAATGAAAGTAGAGGTTTAAGAAGGGTTGAGTGTTTGCTTAAAATGAGACTTCCCTAGTGGCAGTTGCTTTTGTTTACTTTAAAATCTTTCTCTGGGATGATCTTGCCCTCAAAGTTGTAAGAGCTGAGCTTATAATTAATATTGAAAATTCTTTACCCAGTATGGTACATTTCTTTGCATCATAATTTCATTTTTAGAGAAAAATGTTTGGGAGAACTCAGTGCCATGGGATGTTGCAGTTCCTTTCCCTATTCTTTTCTTTCTTAATGAACTACCGTACCTGTCTTGCTACTGAAGTCTATTAACATCCAGCTGCTAAATCTACTAATCCGAACTTAGTGTCTATGGTTAATTTGGCTGACTTTGAGGGCTTTTGTACCTATTGACTGCAATTATGGTTCAGGTGGTAAAATATTGTGTGTTCTTTTCCTTTTTACTTCCTGTTCCTTTGTTGCAACAGGTGTATCCAGTGTCTGCATTGGGTGGTATCCAATACATAGCAGCTCTGAAAAAGCCCTTCCCTCATATCCCTTTGATTGCCTCTCAGGGCATAACAGTAGGTTTGGCTTCATCTCTCTTAAAAGCCTAGATATTCTTTCCTTAGCACTACGAAGAGGTGATGCTTTCCTGTTAGGATTTTGAGGTGCTCATCCACTATTTTACCTTCTATGAAGTTATTAATTATATCTGTCTAATTTTACTTGTAAGAATGAAAAGGTTGGTGAGAGAGTTTGTATACTAGCTGCCGTCTGAAACATTTGCTTGAAACTGTGTCGAGGAAAGTTAATAGAGGATTTCTCTTTTCCTTATTTTACATTATTTAGGGCTTGGAGGAAGGGTAATTAAGGTGAAAGAAATGCACATCTTTCTGTTTGGGGAGTCTGAGAGACAAACTGAGGATAAGCACGGAACTGTATGTTTTTGTCTAATCAAATCAAGGGACCAATAAATTGGCTTTAATTTTTAGTTGGGAGAATGGTTGCATGGTGATTGGTCAGAATAATCCTTGTTAATGTCTTGCATATTTAAGTGGTTTCTCAGAAATTTGATGTGAATTATGGATTCGATTCATATTACTTGATGAATAACTATGGTTATACTAGCTTATCACAGAAATTCTACAGTAATACACGGTTGTTTCTAAGGGTTAAGTTTCTTGTGATTGTTATTGTTGGGAAATTACATGGATGCTTTGTCTGAAATTGGAAGTTTCTGACCTGCTTACGAAATTACTAAGTACATATATCTGGACATGTGAAAATTTTAATGTGCATGCAACCTGGAGAACTAGCTGGGCTCTAAGCTCATTTTTGTCTGCAATCTTAAAAGATGTTTAATACAGGATACTTGATTTTTCTCCAGCAGGGTTTTCATCTATTTTATTAGTTTCTGTGCTGATTTTGGATACATCTAGTTATTGGATATTGACGCAAAATACTTTTGTATATAGGTTTAGGGTACCTTTACTTTTGTTAGTCTTGGTTGGCTAGTACTTCCTTGTATAATTGAATCTGCCAATCATTTTCTGTTAGTCTTTGTTGGCTAGTGAAAATTGTCCACTTTGCATTGGTTACATTTGATATCTCTAAGTAATGCTGCTTCATGACCTTTTTCTTTTTGTTCTGTTTCAAGCCATACTTTGAATGAACGATGCTTCTTAAAAGGCAATTGGATTCTCTCATTTTGCTTCTCTCTCTTAAAATTCCCCAAACAAAAGAAAAATCTGTGCAACAAGAAAAAGTTTTCTCATGGTTTACCCATTTTATGCTTCATACATGTACGCTGGATCCATCCAAAATGCTTCATATTCTTGGCTTTTGCATGTATTTTGATCTCCTTAAAGTGGTTATCGTCAAGTGCTTGACCTTCATTAACACATCAGCTGTCATTGCAATACTTGTTACGAGTTAGCTACACCTTTTAACACTGATGCAGATTTAGTTGGGGAGTATATTGCTCATGGAGCAACATCGGTTGTTTTGTCTGATGCTATATTCAGTAAGAAGGCAATGGGTGAAAGGAATTTTGAGACCATTTATCAGCTTTCACGTTCTGCAGCTTCCCAGGCGATTGAAGCTGTAGAAAGGTTAGAATTCGCCTAGTAGTGCTTGATTTCTTTCAATAAGAAGAAACTTACTTTTGGTCATTTTTTCTTCATTGCATATATATATATAGGGTAAACAATAAAAAAGTCCCCTGTGGTTAAGCAATCATACATAAAAGCCCCCTGTGGTTTCATATCATACCAGTCGATACCCCGTGGTTTGAATTAACCTGAAAAGTGGACGGAAATCGGCAAAACAGACGGAGCTGAATGAATAGACGAAAATACCCTTTTGAAGAATGCAACTTGCATGTAAAATTTTTTTTTTTTAAAGTAATTTGTTAAATAGCCTGCCTGAAACCCGCTTGCGGGTTTCCCCCTTATGTAAAATGACTAAAAGCTGCTTTTCTGTTCTATTTATATCAAACACATACTCTCAAACCCTCACCTGAAGGGTGAGGATGAGAGGGGAGGTTTGCTGGGCATCCTAGGGCCCTCCGATGGGCATGTGCAACTCAACGCAGCTTGCATGTAAAAATTTTTTTTTTTTTAAGTAATTTGTTAAATAGCCTGAAACCCGCTTGCGGGTTTCCCCCTTTTTTTTTTTTAAAAATAAATTCTATGCTAAAATGACTTAAAACAAAAATAAAAGACTAAAAGTAAATAAAAACTAGCATGAAAAATAAAAATAACAGTAAATAAAAATACACTAAAAATTTGGTGTCTACAGTAGTTACTGAATAATTTGGAAACAGATTGAATGAAGACTCAGAAGAAACGGAAGCTGGTCTCTTATTATTAAAGAGTGAAGGCTAAAATAGGCATATCAGGTGAAAGTTTGTGGTGGAAATCTGTTTTTCGCATATGCACGCGCCTTTGCAGTTCGTTTAAGACACACGCCGAATATTTGACGATTTCCGTCCACTTTTCAGGTTAATTCAAACCACGGGGTATCGACTGGTATGATATTAAACCACATGGGGTTTTTATGTATGATTGCTTAACCACAGGGGGCTTTTTTGTTGTTTACCCATATATATATTCTTGTCTGTCTTGTTTTTACCCATTGTTGCTGCATTTCATCGGAAAATAAGACTACAGAATAAATATAAGTGAACATGAAAAGAGGCAACTTCGAAAGGTTCAGCTCTGTTTCTCTTAGTCATGGAGGCATATCGAGCCTTTTTTTTTTTAACCGTAAAATTACCAGCTCAAACTTGTTTCTTCTGGAGCTTTCAAGTAGTGGTGGCAAATTGGATTTAAATCCATTTATCCATCCAAATAAACCGAGCTTAATTTGAGATGGATGCTTAAGAAAAATTTTATGACTTAAAATGAATGGCCATTTAAATCCAATTAAAATCCAATTAAGGAAACTATAATCCCACAAGTTTCTTACTTTTTTACTCACTCTAGAACTCTCTCTCTCTATGGCATCTGTCTGTCTGTTGGTCGTTCGAAGGCCAAGCATGGTTTTTGGAGACTCCACACTAATTGGCAATTGCAAAACAATAGTCAAAATGTTACTCCGTATCATCATTGATTTATTTAATATTATAGGAAAAGTATTTTTTTTCCCTTTTTTTGGCATTTTACTTCATTTTATAGGATTGGTAACATATGGCCTTTTTTTTTTAATAATTTTACCCTTTTTATTATTGCATCAGTCATTGGCTAACATGCAATTTTGCAGAGAATTTCACTTCAACTATTTCCAATGCTCAGGCAGCATTGGACACCTATTATGATTTTACGCAATGAAAATCAAACTTGGTTTTTTGAACTTGATACAAGCTTTGAGACATCTGGGTGGTTATAGTTCATACAAGATCATGAACTCCAAGATAATTCACTCTTTAAGATTTCTCTATATTGGCTATACCATATGGTCTTTAGAGTTGCAATATACCCAACAGACAATTGTTTGACTAACCCAAGATTAATAAGATTAATTAGAGAGTTGCAATATATTCCCTTTATGTCATTCTTCCATTCCATGATCTCGAATATCTAGTAAAAAGAATATTAATAATAATTTCATAATATAAATATTCATTTCATTTATATATATTCACATTCTCATTTCCTTGCAGATGTTACCGGGAGCTATAATTTCCTATTGCAAACAAATATAGATCACACAATCTCTTGTACCTATGAGTACAACAATTGGATATTCGAAGTTGATGGCATATATATCTACCAACTGGCTGGGCAAGATTTGTTGAATGCCATTTCCTTGGAGAAGGAAGTGTTATTATTTTTAATTTATTACAAAATAATAATTATCATGTAATGCTTTTCAATTCCCAGTTAATCAAAGAATATTGCACCTATCTATAAAATATTTTATTTCTTTCTTTGATTTTGTTCGGCTACTAATATACCAATCCAGAATAAATATCACAGTATAACTAATACCATTATACAAATAATTCAAAATTTTGAAACAAAATAAAATCGAAGATCGTGAACGACTATATTTACAAAATACAAATTCGTTCATGCGTAACAAAACATACAAATAGGCAATGACAAATATTAAACACATGCTAAAAAACTTAATACACCTTAACTAAAAAAAATATATAATAATTACATTTTCAAACGTGGTCATTTATAAACCGAACTTCATATCTAACTATGCTAAATAAAAAAAAAGTGCATCTCTTTCTTTATCTACTTCTTTTGCAAATTTAGCAAAGGCCTCTAAATTTGGGTATTATCATGTTCTTTGAGTGCAGCCTCAAGAATCAGAGCCCATCTCTCAATACGATAAAAATCCTTGAAAAAATCAACTATCTTTGCTCTAATTTCATTATTCAACCATACAACTTGATTGGAATGAAAATTTTCTGCATCACAATTCATCCTAACTCTATCAGCTGTATCATCACTGCAATTTTCAAAAAAAAAAAAGGGCCTTTTTTTCCAACAATTGTAGTTATCTTTTTGATAATTCCACCCATTGGTACAAAACAGTCATAGAGCCTATGCTTTTATACAACTTGCAAACACATCCAAACAAATAGATAAAAACATAATCAATATTTGAGTTGACTATTACTTCACTCATTCCAATAAATCTGATTGACTACAACTGCTTTACTACGAAAATAGTACATGGCTAACTATGACGTACAACAATAATATCAAAACATGAGCAATAACAAGACAAATAGTAACAGCATTAAAAATACACAAAAAGATATGAATAAATATAAACTAAAAATATTTAATGTACTTTAATTTATATTAAAATAACTTTCCAATGCATAACTAAAATTATAATGCAATAAATATACAAATTATACAAATTAAATAGATTTATACAATACAATAAAAATTTAAAAAATATATGACACCACATATAAACATAAATAGAGCAATCCGTTTGGACAGAATAGGGATACCTTCAATTAGAAAAATGAGGATTATGTAAGAGGAATATTTGGTTATATTTTCCATGAATAAAAAAAAAAAAAAACATAAATAGAGCAATTCTCTATCAACAAAATTAACTAGCTCAAAAACACCTTATTCTCTTATTACTTGGATCCCATACATATAACAAACTGCAACAATACAATTATCCAACTGCAACTCAAGCCCACATACACAATAAACACAGTTATAATAATAAAATTTTTTAACCAGCATGTTTTCCCCTTATCCAAAAGCCCAAAAAGCATACATCCAGTTACACATTGTAAACTCTGTCATAGCAACTTTTATTCCCTCCATCTTTTTCTACTCTGAATGTTTCTAAAGCATTCATATGAATAAATTCTTGAAACTCCAATTGCACAGCTTCAAGGTTATGGTAATAACCATGCATCTGATTTCTTTTTTATTATTTTCTACAATAATTTGACCTTCTTTTCTCTATTTCAATTTACTGACTTCAAAAAACTCACTGAATCAACACTACATCACTATCAAAAACTATATGTACTGAAATTGCTTTCATTTCTTTTTCCTTTTTTCAGATTATATAGTATTGTACACCTAAATTATGATCCAGCACTCAGATCTAAAATTACTAGTCCTTCCATCGGCATTCTTGATGGCCAGATCTTTTATTTTTTCAATCTCACTTTTTCCCCTCTTGCTTTAAAAAAATTGTGATATGCTCTTCTTCCTTGTTGGTCTTATTTTTTTCCCTTAATTTTTAGTTTCTTCAATCTCTACAGTCTATCCAAAAAATCCATTCTCTCTAATATGTACAGTACTTTGAGTCCATATAATGCAAATACATCTAATCCTAATATGCTAAAACACTTATTACCTAAAATGCACAAAAAAATTTTCTGTGATTAAATTATGGGTAAAATACAAGAAACCCCCTTGTGGTTTCGCGAAAAGACACCTTACCCCCTATCATTTAGAAATCTCCACATAAACAACCTAAACTTCATAACTAAAGTGAAAATTGACTTGTAACCGGACATCTAACCTAGTGACGATCGGTATTCACAATATCCTTCAAAAGAGGAAAAAGCAAAAAAAAAAAAAGTCATACTTTCATCTCAACTCAATGCGTGGACTAGTTTTATTGGCTGGAATAAATGCAACTGATATCCTTGAAATTTTCAACTCAATACGTGCAGCAGCTTTAATAGAGCTAGTTTAGTTCCTGCCAAACCTTATCTTGGTTCTGATCCTGATTCAATCTTCTCCCTAAAGGTTGCCTTCGAGCCTCTACTTCTGAGTCAGGTAGTTCACCTCGTGAGAGGATTCAGTAGTAGTAGAAGAAGAGTAGCTGTAGCTACGGGACTCCGCCTCCAAGCGTGGAGAACAAATGCCATATATTGAGTTGAGATATATGGTTCTTGGTTGCTGAAATATTAGTTGTCACTGCTAAAATCGTGACACAAGATGTTGAGGTAAGGTATATTTAGATTAGTAGTCAATAAAGAAAGCAGCAGCACACGTTGGCTGCTTTGTTATATACTACTACTACTTGTTAATCACACCAGGAGCGGATCAAGTCATTGTCTCTCTGACTTTAATCCTTCTTCAAGTGCAACCAGCATCTGAGAAGATCCAACTTTTGCGAAATTGATCTTCAATCTCTTTCTGTGGTGTTGTTTTCCATGGAAGTGCGCAAATCAACCATACAAGCCGAAGTCCAAAAGAAACGAACCCAAAGGACGAAGGATATAGGGAACGCGCTTTTACTTTTACTGTGTTGATTGTCTAAACTGGACAAAGAGATTTTCTGCTCTACCATGGCATTGTCGGAAAAAACCCCGCTAAAGGAAGAGTTACCATGAAAAAACTGTAGCAAAACCAAAACCATTATCAGGGAGTCCGTGGTATGGTCCAGACAGAGTTCTATACTTAGGCCCCTTTTCCGGCTCACCGCCATCTTACCTCACCGGAGAATTCCTGGTGATTACGGGTGGGATACAGCCAGCCTCTCAGCTGATCCCGAGACATTTGCCAAGAACCGTGAGCTAGAAGTTATTCATTCAGGATGGGCTATACTTGGAGCACTTGGTTGTGTTTTTCCTGAGCTTTTATCAAGAAATGGTGTCAAGTTTGGAGAAGCAGTTTGGTTCAAAGCTAGTTCACAAATTTTCAGTGAAGGTGGTCTTGATTATTTAGGTAACCCAAGCTTAATTCATGCACAGAGTATTTTAGCCATCTGGGTTTCACAAGTCGGCTTAATGGGGGCTGCGGAGGGCTACAGAATTGCCGGAGGACCACTTGGGAGGTGACTGATCCTATTTATCCTGAGGGAGCTTTGGTCTTCTTGGATTGGCAGATGATCCTAAGGTTTTTGCTGAGCTTAAAGTCAAGGAAATCAAGAATGGTAGGTTGGCTATGTTTTCCATGTTTGGTTTCTTTGTTCAAGCTATTGTAACTGGAAAAGGACCTTTGGAGAACCTAGCTGATCACCTTGCTGATCCAGTGAAAGTGGTTGAAAGTTGATATCTAGAATATAAAGTTAGACGAGGGTTAGACGAGGGTATTCGACCGGCTGCCGGTAAGTCAGCCGGTTTAAAAGGTAATTTCCACTTTAGTTATGAAATTTAGGATGTTTATGTGGAGGTTTTTAAATAATAGGGGGGTAAGGTGTCTTTTCGCGAAACCACAAGGGGGTTCCTTGTATTTTACCCTTAAATTATTTATTGAAAAACATTTGCTCAATGTTAATACTTTTCCATATGTATAATTGTTACTCTAAAAGTTATTTTTCTCCCTCTATATAAATTTTATATTTTTCCCCCATAATCCAACTTAAAACCTCTCACATGTATAATTATTTTGAGAAAGTTTCTTTTGTTCGTTGTGTGAGGACCCGAAAATTTTCTTATTTTAATAGAATATTACTGGACTATTTAAATGATTATTCACTCATTTTTTTCGAATTAATTATTTCGATCATTTTAAATCCATTTATATGGAACGACGCTTCTTTTATGTTTTTAAAGTGTTTTGTTGAAAAATTCACTTTTCGAAAATTCGTCTAGTTTGGAATGACGAGTACACGTTTTTCGAGGCTATACTTGAATCGGGAGTGTATTAATATTGGAGAATTAAAAATGATCAATGGTAGATTAAGAAAGACTAATTAAGGAATTAATACTCGACTCATGTGAGGATTCACAAGAAATTTATTTATTTTGAAACCCTAATTTGGGCTTATTTAATGATTTAATTATCCATTTATTCCGAATATTATTTTCTAGACCTATTGAACCTAATTACATGGAATTATAGCTTCATTATATTTTTAAAGTGACTTGATTCAAAATTTAATTTCCGAAAGCACGTTTAGTGAGAATAGTGGATAGTGCTTGGAAATTTTAACCGATTGAGAGTGCAATAAGCTTGGAATATTGGAGACTTATACAATGGACCTAAATTAGGTATTATAATGTTTAAATACTCAAGTGATAATTATTAGTATTATCGTTATAAGAATTTCTCGGAGGTTTCGCGTTATAGCGTTAAAATTGACGGTACGCGTTTTCACACGCGCGACTTTATTTGAGGGACTTTAGACCCTTATTTCGGGACAATTAAGAGTGAATAATATTTATATGAACATAAGTGCATTAGAGGTTTAGTGCGCTAGTGAACCAAACGCGAGAGAAAATCGAGCCCTAAACGCACCAAACGAGCCCTAATGAGAGTTGACCTTGGAGTGAATTTACACCACTCATTTTAATCTTCTCTTGGAAGCTAACCTTGATCAAATCTTACTCTCTCTTCTCTCTCCTATTGCCGGCCAGCCCCCTCTCCCTCTCTAACTCCATTGTTTCAAAAATTTCTTCACCAAATCAACAACAAAACTCCAACCAATCTTCACCAAACTTGTAGATCAACTAGCAAACTACTTGGAGG